GGAAAGGAAGTTTTTGTTGCTTACTGCAAAGACGCCACACGTCATGGCTTCAGGTAGCCGGCAGGATCCACGGGCCAAGGCCAAAGGGGAAGGTGCGGTTTGAGAGGTGGCTGCTCAAAATCGCAGAGTTGCCCCAAAGCAATGGAACTAATGGAAAAGGTGCCTCCGCGCCAGGATCCAGAGCAGCAGGAAGCTTTGCAATTCAGGGGCACGGGGCTCCCCGTTGCAGCCCAGCCGCTGCAGCTTGGAGGCACGGAGCCTCACCGGCAGGCAGGAAGGGCACCACCAGCAGCAGCCGCTGGCCCTGTCTCTCTCAAACCACAGTAGTGGGCCTCCACCCATTGGAAGGGCTCGGGCCCACTGTTCTCGGCACACTGCCCCCCCCCCGGCAGAGAACACTCTCCACCCGCTCCGAGACAGGGACGCGTGCCTTGTCTTCTCCTTGAAGGCAGGCCAGCTTTCGGATCCAGCCTACAGGATCAAGTGACATATTTTGGAATGTCACATCTGAGAAGAGACAGCAAGCGGAGACGCTGCCAACAGCAGCAGACCTTAAAACAACATCGATGGAACAGGCTAGATCCGCCCGCCCTACTAAGTAAGGCCTGGGCTTCCACACCCCTTTGGGCTGCCAAAAAACCACCTTCCAACCCGAAGCATTTAGGCCTGCAGGCATTCTTGGCCCACAGTTGTGTGTCTCAGACCCAGCGGTCCTTCCTCCGTTGGCCTCCTGGCACGCGCAGGAGCATTCTTGGGACTTCAGAGGCAGGTGGAGCCCCCCGTCCGGTGAGGAAGCCCTGCCGGAGGAGAGAGCGTCAAACGCCTGTCGGTCCCTGGGACGGCCAGGGAGGGGCGCAGGATCCCAAGGGCAGCGGCCAGAGGTTGCGTGGCCTTTTTCGTGCACTTTCTCCGAGCCAAAGTGCTTCGCCTTTCCTGAGACTCACCCCTGAGGGTCGTGGCACCCAGGTGGCCAACCGGGAACGCCTTCCTGAGAGGAACCAGACAATGGCCGGAGCCTCACCCTCAGCTGGGGGGGGGCCAGGTGGCCAACAGGGAACGCCTTCCTGAGAGGAACCAGACGATGGCCGGAGCCTCGCCCTCAGCTGGGGGGGGGTCAAACAAATAAGACAAGAGACGAGGAAGCGGGAGACGGGCTGGCCAAGGGGACGCTTGTGGGCCAACAGGAAAAAAAAGTGGCAGCTGGACGAGGAGCCCGCTCGCTCCCCGGGCACCCGCGCCCAAAGGCAGGGGAGACTCCCTATGACATGGCCCTGCCTTCTTCCTGAGCCCAGGGGAGCCTGGGGGGGGGCTCTTAGCCACCGCCCGTCCCCACTCGGTCCTTCCCCAAAACATTTTGTCCACACTGAGAAAACTGAAGACGTTGGCACCCTCCGGGCAAGCAGGCGACCACTCCGCCTGGCTAGGGGGGCTGCAAAAGGCAGGTCGCAGGTGTCACGAGAGATTGGGCCAAAAAGACCATTTGACAATATAATATATATGTATGTATATATAAGAAGATCAGAACATTTACCTCTTCATTTCCTTCTGTATAACTAAACCACCTTACTAACCCTTACCAACCATTCTGAGCCCCCAAATTTGGCCATAACCAGCAAAGAAATCCTCACAAAGAGGTTGGGTCACCTTCTCCCCCTCCCCGCCCAACCACACATTTCCCCGGAAAACGAAAACACTTTTTAACATACACGGCCTGGTACCTCCAAAGTTTCCTCAAACTGTACTCCTCCCAGAGGAAGCATAGGTCTCATCCTATCATCCTCCACTCACAACGGCTCTGAAGCACAAAAGCCAGCCTTTTGGCCACCAACAATCCTGCCTCAATGCGGCACCCTCAGGCAGAGAACGCCCGGCCTTTGCCAGGAGAAAACTAGAACGGGGGCGTGCGTGTGTGCGTGCATGCAGCCTTATTGCACAAGGAAGCCAACTTTGAGGCAGGAACCGAGAGGCAGGCCTCAGACTCCTCCACAGGGCTACTAAAGACACGGGCTGCGTGCAGTTGCTTGGAGCGGCAAGCTGCCCCCGGCCGGCTCACGCCTAGGTGTGCGAAACAAGGGGGGGGCTCTGTTTCTGTGCAAATCTCTCCCAGTGAAACCACTGTTTCTTAACGCTGATGCCATCCACAACCCAAAGCCGCCAATCCCTGGTCATCCCCGAGGAGCCTGGAATGGGGCAGAGGTTTCGGCAAGGGCCTCCTCTCCCCCCAGGAGAGAGGCCTGCCCCCTGAGCTGAACTAGGAGCTCTCCAAAGTCTGAAACAAAAGAGCTCCTTTATTGGAATAATCATAATTTTTTTAAAAAAACCCCCAAAGCTGGCCCTCTCGGACAGGGGGAGAGACAAGGGCGCCAGGATCTTCACGCACGGCCCGCTTCCCACACAAAACGAACAGCCGCCGGTGTCCGGCCAGTTGAGCGGGATCCCGGACCGCCTGCCTCCGCGGGGCATCTCCCTGAGGTAGTCGCCGGGGTGGCGTCCGATCCCTGAGGCGGTCGGCCGAGAGCTCGGCGGCTGGGCAGGTCTTCGCTCTGATGGAGGTGGGCATTGTTGTCACAGTCTGGGCTTGATCTGCAGAGGCTTTCCTGGGGGGGGGAAGGAGGAGGAAAAAGAAAGCTTTCAGACTACCGACACAGAAAGAGGCCGACTGTAAGAAGACGACTACGTGCACCTCTGTAAGGATGGCCATTTTCAGAATAAATGGTGGGATGACCAGACTGTTCCATTTCAATGGGCTTCTCTCCTCAGGGCTGATACCCATGGCCCCATTGAGATGCCAGTGGGTTTGGGAGTGCAGGGACGATGGTGGTGGCCCTCCCTGAAGAAGGTCCAAAACAGCCAGGCCCCTGGACTCCTCCACAACAGCCAGTGGGCTCTAGCAAGGCTTGTTCCTAGCATGAGCAGGTACTTTGTAGAGCTAATGGCTCTTAATAACCTTCAGCCTATTTTGAGTCCAACAGGTATTGCTGAAAATAGCATACTTTCCCTGGAAAATCTCTTCCTCTCCCAGCTCCTGGGAAGGTGGTGGTAGGAGCAGGGGATTCCACCGTTCCTTCTCATCAGAATGTCCAGGGGCTTTGCCCCCGTGAGCCCTGGTCCTACTGCACGGCTGAGCTGTCCCCCAAACCTAGCCCCCCAGGCTGGTGGGAAATTCTAGGGGTTTCCAGGCTGGGGGGGGAGGCTGCCCCACAGCCTTTTTAGCTGGGTGGGGGGGTGGGCGTTGCAGAACTCGTTGGACTTTCTGGGTGCCCTGGAGCTGGTGGGGCGGGAGCCTTCCCTGGGCCTGGTGGGGCAAGTGAATGTCCCTCTTCCCCGGCCTTGGCCCTTACCCCACTGGGAATCTGCTGGCTGGAGAGCTGCTTCCCAAGAGCCCAGAGCTCTCCCCCCACCACCCCCAGGGCTCTCAAGGGGGCACAGGACAAGGGCAGAAGGCTCCTCAGAACATCTCGTGCCAACTTTCCAATGCAGGCAGGTTCCCCTCTGCTCCATCTTTCCAGTTAAAGCGAGCCTGCTATGTGGGTCCTTTGGGGCACACAAGCCGCTCCAGGAAAGTGGCCACGGGGGTCCCACTCAGGGAGGCAGCCCTGTGCCCAGGTCCCTTTCGACAGGTCGAGCTGCCCCCACCCCTGCCATGCCCTCCCAGGCCAGGGTGCCTGGAGTCCTGCCAGAGAGGGAGGGAGGGAGGGAGGACGGCCGATCGCATCTGTCGGGCTGCGCTCCCAGCCCTCCGAAACAGAGGCCTCCTCAGGGCAGAGGCAGGAAAGGGCTCGCCTGGCTGCTGACAAGGTCAAACCATTCAAGACGACACGATGCCAAACCCTAGCGGGCTTTCTCCAGAAGCGGTGGACAGGTAAGCCGAATAGCCGGCTACGTCCCGGTGCTGACAAGTCTGAAGCGGGATGCAGGCAGGAGCAACCCAGGAGAACAGCTACTCCGGGAAGTGACGCTTCCTGAGGGGTGCCACACCTTAAAGACCGAAGCACTTTCTAGGTTCTTAAGTTTTGCCTGGCATAAAGCTTTCACGTCACGCTGTCCGCATCCCAACATGCTTCTGATGGAGCGAGGGTGTCCCTGACTAAATCACCTCCTAGCCTAGTCAATGACACTCCATCCACTTGGCCCGGGTTCATGCTTTTCACTCTTACACTGCAGGTTGATGTTAATTGATTGCCTTTAACAAAATCCCTCAGCTGACCGAGTCCTTAAGTTGTTGGCCAACCCCATGCCCTCCCGATGGATCGGACTACGGCTCCCATCGCGTGCATCTAACATAGCAAGTCCACTCTCGGTGTTGCACCGGTTAAGCCTTTCTTGTCCCACCTTGCAGGATCGCTGGGAGGACGAAATGCGGGTGGGAGGGTTAGGAGAGGTGGAAGGAGATACTCTCGTTGCCCCGAGCGCCTTGAAAGAAGGCAGGCGGGAAGAGGTTTCAGGAGTGGCAAAAGGGGTTGAGGACAATGAAAGACAACTCAGGGGCAAAGTTGCTTACCACTCAAAGGCACAGAAAACTTTAACAGAGTAAAGAGCCTGATGGAGACCAAAAACAAATAACATTTACGATTTACAACCCAAACAAGTAAGAAATAATTTTCCAATAAAATGGAATTTTAGAAGTCTTCTTTTCCAAAGTGGAAAATTCCCCAGATGAAAATATAAGGGGAGAAGGTTTGGTTTCCTCAAAATCTGAGCTGCACAACGCCATCAATTCTGAATTTTAAAAGTGAGAGATTGTAACAGCACATGGGGGGAGGGAAGAGAATGGGGGGGGGAGAGAAAAACTTGCACAAGTCCCCTTCTGTCCTAGCCGGGGGGGGGCACGAGAAAGCTGTGCTGGAATGCCAAGCCTTGCCATACAGTGGCGCTGTCAGCTGTGCAAACACATCAGAAGGCAGGTGTCTGCACAAGAGGGATGGCATCAGATGGGCTTGGAACAGGGTGCAGAAAGTAACTTTTCTCTCTCTCTCTCTCTCTCTCTCTCTCCCAGATTTGGGACGACCCGTTTCTAGATCTCAGGGCTTCAAAGAGCAACCTCAGCGTTTCTTGGGGAACAACAACGAATGAGCCAGTCTCAGAAGCCAGGAAGAGAGAAGGAAGGGGCTTCGAACCAGGATCCTTCAAACAGGATCTCCCCTCCCCAGTTGATGGAAGGAAGCTATGGGGCGCACAGAAGCCCGTGGAGTGGTGTGCCTCGTGCACCATTTCCACAGGATGCAGGATTGGGAAGGGCCCCCAGCAAGGAATACATGGGTTGTATGCAGAGCAGCTGCTGCAGGAGAGATGGCTAGGGACCGGATGGAAGGGACCCCCCCACCCCCACCCCCTGTGCTCAGGGTGGCCGGATGCCTTTAGGGTCACACCTTGCCCCACGGGGGGGGCATTGCCCAGGAGCCACAGGGCGAAGCTGGGTGGATCCCAGGGAGCGAGCTGCTCGATGCCACTAAAAAGCACCACCACCTGGCACCGGGTTAGGGGCTCGTCGTTCAACCGGATCCCTCAGGGATACAGGGATGACCAATACGGGGTGCGGTGGGAGCTTAGACACGGGACGCTCGACCACTCCCAGCTCCCAGAATCCCTAGCTGAGAGTTGGGAGTCCAAAACAGCATCACATACGCACCCCACGTCCACCAACTGGTCTCATGGTCCGGGCGGGCTGGGGACCCCAGGCCCTTCCAACATCGTCCCCCCCCGCTTGGCCCAAGGACCTTGGGAGACCCTGTCTCGCTCCCCAATCGATAGAGGCGGGCTCTTGTCTGGGAGGGGCCTGCCAGCAGGAAGATGAGGGAGAGATGATGATGGTGATGGGAGGGCAGGAGACACTTGGAAGGCTGCTCCCTCCACCGTCACCCAAGAGGAGAACGAAGAGGGCTCCTGCCACCCCCCTTCCTCATATCACCCCGAGGTCTCTTCCGGCCCAATTCCCAGTTTGATGAACTTGTCCTTGGACCCACTCCGACCCCCAGCATCCCCCATCGGCCCTTCTTTCCTCTACATTCGAGGATCTGCAATGTAGTGCTTGATCCAACCACAGAGACACTTGGGTTCGAGGTTGGAAAAGTTAATTTTCTGGACTTACAGATACCAGGATCAATTGCATTTGCACCTTCAAGCAGGCAGTTTTTCTTTTCTTTTTTTCCTTTTTTTAAAAAAAAACTGAGCAGCCTCCGGGTTATTTTCCAACCCTAAGGGAATTGCAGGGCATGGAGGGACAGCAGAAGGGTTCCGGGGTCATTTTTTTGTCCCCCCCATTTTCCTTTTACTTATCATATAAGAACAAAGAAAGCAAACCTGTCCCCAGCAAGGGAATGAAACCCGGCCATCCTGGATCACAACTCTTAAAGGGACGGTGTTGCAAAACGCCTCCCCTGCAGCTGCCGTTCTGTGGTCGGAGATCAGGGCAGGGCTAGGCTTCACGGCTCGGCTGATGTCCACAGAGCCACAGGGAGCTGACACGGGCTCAGTTCAAGACCCAACACCTTGTCTGAAGCCCAGGTTTTGGGTTACTGTACTTTGCAAACTGAAGCGCCGAGTTTCACATTTGCAAAGCACGCCTCTCCCTGCGACCCCCAGCCTGTCCACACACCAGTCCACCAACAGTAAACCGAGGGAAGGCATTGTGATCGTGGCTGGTTGGGTGGAACAGAGAGCCCTCGGGAAACCTGGGGCAGTTCCGAGAAGAATCTGGAGAAGGCCCTTTTAGACCCGGGATCTCCCAGGCAGCAGGCTGCCCCCCAACGGGGCTCCCTGCCCCACCGGCAAAGCCCTTGGCCCCTCCTGGAACAGCCCCACTGAAGCGCCCAGGGAGGGAAGGAGGGAAGGCAGGCAACGGGACGGCTAGGTTTCTCCTGATGCTTTTAAAAACTTGCTTAAACAAACTTTAGGCGGGAGTCTAAGCGGGGCTGGCATTGATTCATGGCTTTTGAGCTAATTTATGTAAAATAAAGAGGGCTCATTTAGCACCTTTCCACCCTTCCTATAACACCCATACATCAGAGAGAGGCCCAGCAGTCACCAAAGGCTCTGGCAATTAGTCATTGGTTAGTACACTTTAAAGAGACAGCCAGCGAGGAAACAGACACACAGAGACACAGACACAGACACAGACACACACACACAGACACACACACCGGTGCCATCCATCCATCCATCCATCCATCCATCCATCCATCCACTGAATTGTAGGCCAGGGAAACCTTGTGCCAAGGCTGGGAAACCACACTACAAAGGTCAGCTGGCTTTCAATATATTCGCGAAGGCTTTCACGGCTAGGATCTAATGGTTGTTGTGGGTTTTTTGGGCTGTTTGGCTGTGTTCTGAGGGTTGTTCTTCCTAAAGTTTCGCCAGTCTCTCTGTGGCTGGCATCTTCAGAGGACAACACCAGCAATCATTACGTCAGAATGCACAGGGAAGCCATTGAAATCCACAAGCACCAGCAAAACTTCAACAAAAAAGAGGAAAGTGTGAAGCTCAACAAAACTTGGCTCCCAGCTCTCAAAAATACAGCGTGCAAAAGGTCAACGAACTCTACCCAGCTACAAGGACAAGGGATAACTACACACAAAAGACCAGCTAATGACACCCATCA